GTCTCACTCCGCTCTCCATCGCTCATGACAGACTGTGTGGAATCTCCATGCTCAGTAGCAGTCTATCTGCAGAAGCTGGCTTCTCAGGAGCCCGGTGGAAACAGGCTGCTTGTGAGTTTCCAGGCTGCCCAGCAATGAAGTACCTAAGATAAATAAATGTCTGACCATCAAAGACAGCATCCAACTTAAGTGGCTATGCTAGAGAAGCCCCCAAATGGGGTATGAAAATGACCACCTTCCCTGGTTGCTTATGCCAGTGTTTAACAATCTGATACAGACTGCCCATTTTTATGGAGGAGTCATCCAGATCTTGGATTTTTTTTTCTATGTCTCACCCTATTTCCCAATATTCCATCCATCCATCCATAGCTCCTTCCTTCCTTAGCTTCTTCATTCCTTCCTCCCATCATTGGTCTTCCTTCCTTCCTCTAAACCACACCATTTGGATTCATGCCTGGCCGCAAAACGTAGCTCCTAAGCAGAGCCTCCCTCTCCCATGGCACTCTACTTTTCAGCTCCCCCTGCTGCTTCCTTGCAGAGAGGGAGGCCTGTCGCTGTCCTTGCTCACCTGGCAGCTTTTTCAGGGGTCCTCGGGTTGACTGCTCTTGAAAACAGGGTTTGGGGGACCCCTGATTGATTCAAAAGACTTCTTCTGATTTTCTTACAAGGAAACATAATGTCCGCAGCCGTTCTTTTCATGCACACCCTGGCCTCAGCAGTGAGGCAGGCAGAAATTCAACCGGTGAAGGATCCCACCCACCCTCACAATGGTTGTACTTCTAGTTGCACCAAATAAATGTCTGCCTTCTGTGCAACCAGATCGGAGGTGGTCCAGCTCCTGGCGAATGGCATTGCATATTTTTCTTTTTAAAAAAACAGCACACATTGCCTTCAAGTTCAGGAAAGGGTTAACAAAATCCCATGGCTGTAAACCAGTTCACCCCTGTAGCCCCAGTCCTTTGACCCCCCTAAGCTCTTTCCCTCCCAACCCACCACTCCTTTAAGGATTAACTTCTCTTTCCCCGACCCTCAGGGTCAACCAATCCCTCAGCCCTTCCAGGACTTAAAGGGTTAAATCCCCCCCCTCCCATCAAGATCTCCCGGAGTTAAACCCAAGGCTTCCCTCTTTTCTCCCTTTAGACTATAATCCTAATTCCCTCTCCCGATTTAGGAAATCCGCAACAGAATCCTAAAGTGCTAGGATCGGGAGGGGACCCTCCAGAGGTCATCAAGCCCCACCCCAGCTGAAGCAGGAGGCCCACCACGATGGCCGCCATGAGCGACGACCAACCACCCTCCCTTTCTGTCGAACTGAAACCTACTTTCTTGTTGATTGACTCCACCACTTCAGGACCTATGCGCCTTAGCCGTGGTTCCCCCACCCCGACCAACCCTTTAAAAGTTCAAATTCTGGCTCTTTTAAGGCTGAAACTGATTTTCCTGACTCTTTCCTGGTCCAGCCCATTCAGGGGTTTTTTGTGTGTGTATGAAAAAATCAGATTATTTATTATTACTTTTTAAAAAAGTAACATGCTAATTCACAATGGCTACAGATTAACAAATTAGAATTTGCTATGCAGAGGAATTTGTTACAGGTGAGAATTCACAGATATTACCTAGTAAAATTAGTGATACAAAGTGTTTTTTCTAAATTGCAACAAATTTCAAAATTGTGGCCTTTTTTTACAGGGCAAAAACCACAAAACGCTACAGAAAGGAGAGAAGCCTGTATTGCTAACTGAATAAGAAGACAAAAATAAGAACACTTTTTTGGGGGGGGAGGGCGTGAACCCTGTATTCAAATTGGTACTGTATTTGTATGTTTTATGATCATTTTCAGGTTAGGCAAACTTTCAGCACAGCTCTGTCTTAAAAACAACCCCACTTTGGAAGGAAGAATCAGAAAACATTTAGAAATTGCGACAGAAATCCACCCATCTATGCCATACAAATTGTAAACGTTTTTCAAATCCAGCCTTACAAAACATTGTAAAAGTGGCTTTTAGAAAATTCAAGACAATGGCGACACAGAGTAGGATTTCCACCAAGTTTAATCCCAAATCCTTTCAAGGTTAAAAAAAAACTCCTTATGAAGCCCCTAAGAGTTGAAGGTTGGACTTCAATCTCGCTGAGCTAGTTTTCCAGCTCTTTAAAAAGTTAAATATTCCCTTTAAGGATTAAACTTTTCTCCCTCTCCCCCTCCCCCAGTCTTCCCACCCATGAAGGGTTAATACCCTAGAAAGAGACTTTAAATCAGTTTTTCCCTTCTGGCCTTTTAAGGGCCAAACCAGGTCTGGCTCCCTCCCTCCAGTTTCACCCTCTTTCCCCCCAAAGTTCACTCCTCCTTTGAATTAAAGGGTTCACCCTAACCCTCCCTCCCCCCCTCCTTCAAGGCTTTAAATTCCTCCTTAAAGCTTGAGACCACTTCCTTCCAGTCCTTTAAGGGTTAATCTCTCCTTTAAAAAGGCTTGAACCCGTGTCTCTCTCCACCCTATTGAGGTTTCAACCCCCTCGTCTAGGCCTTGCTAAGCTTTTAACCAAGCTCATCCCGGGTTCGATCCTTTTTACGTCCCCTTAAGGGTTAAACCACTTCCCTTGCTCCTCCTGCTTCCCCCCCCCGCAAGGGTTTAGGCCCTTGAAGGGTTAAACCCACCCTAACTCCCCTCCTCCCCCCGCTCTGGTTCTTAGATGGAAAGGGTTAAACCAATTCTTGCCACCCCTTTCTGTACGACCAAGGGGGTTAAACCCTCTCTGGGGGGGGCTTGTAGGGTTAAGCCAATCCTACTTACACACACACACACACACACACCCCCCCCCACCCCCCCCCCCCCCCCCCCCGCCATCCTTAAATGGGTCAACCCTCCCTGGGTCTTCGAAAGGGTTAAACCAGGCTTCCTCCATCCCCTTCCAGGGTTAAACCCTCTCTAGACCCTTCTAGAATTGAACCTAACCCTGTCTGTCTGTCTGTCTGTCTGTCTCTTACGACCCCCCTTCCACCCCTTTCAGGGTTAAAACTCTTCCCGGCCCCTTTCAAGGGTTAAACCCATTCTCTCTTCGGCAACCCTTCCCAGAAAGGGTTAACCCGTGAAGGAGGCGAAGAAGAGGGGGGGAAAAAAGCAATTTCCCTCCCGCCCGCTTGCCTTCCGCAGATTGACACATTTTCCTCCGGCAGGCCGCACCCGACCAATTGGAAGCCTAGGCTGGCGGGTGGGCGGGGTTTCCCTCCGCTCCTTCCCCCCCCGGCCTCGCTGCCCACGTGGGGCTGCCCGCCCACCCGCTCCATTCACTTA